TTATTATTATTATTATATATATTATTATTTATTTATTATATATATATATATATATTATTATTATTATTATATATATATATATATATATATATATATATATACATTTATAGATATATACAAATATACATATTGTGTATTATTTGCAGACATATGTTTTTCATTTGTCTTTATTACCTTGGTCGTTTTCTGTGTTTTAGCTCATTTCTTTCAGATAGATGATTGTACACCGTGTGTCGACAATACCACTATTTTACGTTGCTGTATGTATGTGGCAAACGTCTGTGATATTTTGTGAACAATCAAATACAAACCTTCGAATGTTTAATGTTATAGCTGCCACTTTGGATTTGAAATAATGCTAAACGGGAACTTTAGGATTTTCTACATCTGATCAAAATCATGTTGTATGGATTCGTATTGACCACTCAGCAATTGTCTGCCGTTTTCCCTGTGGTATTCGCAGTTGAGAAGCGTCTGACGACGTCCCAAATTCAGTTTAGCAGTATGCGTACCATTTTCGGCTTTGTGTTCATCCATTCTGCTTGTAAACTCAAGTTGCATTTCCTATGCGTACGTCTTTATAGCACACTCATCGCTGGGTTTAATTCACGGTCCTTTCCTTTTAGATTCGGCAACCAGGAAGTCTTCGGGATGCCAACAGAACAGGAATTGAACTTCCTGGCGGATCAAGTTGCAATACTCGACAACGATCCTGCCAAATTTGCCGCGGATCAGAGGTACTTCTAGCAATAATACTTAGAATCTGCACTGTTCATGAGTGCTCCAAAAAAAATTCGGTCTATCCGTTATCACTCATTTATGACTATACTCATATATGCCATACTTGTCAATCATAAATTGAAAATGTGCACGTTGTGAAGCTACGCCTCACTATTATCATACGCAACAATATGCTATTTCACTATTTATGCCACACTTGCCAACCATAAATCCCGCTGTGAAGCTACGCCTCATTATTCTCATATGCAACAATATACTATTACAGGCTGGCAGGCGTACATATATAGATCAATATACTTCACAATGTATCCCACTCCTTGCCCACGCTTTTAGTCCAGATACGCCACAATACCGTTGTTTGTCACACGTACCCCTATACATGTGATCTGCAGTCACACGTTCTGAATAAGATATCGGAAGATGCTGGCATTGTATACACACATTGAGCACGTCTATAGCAATCGGATGGGTACCCTAGACGGGCGCTCGGCACGCCGCTGTATTAATTGTGCTCTCTGCCGAGCAATCGCGATGGCCAGTCTGCATCTGTGTTGTATCACCTATACGGTTCCTCGCGTATACTTGGCTGGGACGACCATACAACGTAGCACCTGTATGTGGATCTGGCTTGACTGTGTATGTCTATCAGATGAACCATTAACAGACACGGCTGCTTTCTTTCGGCGTAGTCTCCGTGTGAGCAGTTTAGACATGGACTCGGCGGTCAGCATAAGTGATCGGGATCGCCTGGAAAAAGCGGTCTTCAGCGCCTACTTCTACTGTGATAGGAAGGTATGACAAACTTGATAGTTAAAATCAGGTTTTGAGTGATGTACAGACCGGTTTGACATATGTGATAGTGCTTGCCATGCACAAATTGAGATCCGGTGTATTCGTATGCTGTAGCGCACTCGCGGCCCTTGTGTACGCACTTGTGAACTATATGATCATACAGGCAGAAATATATACATTTCGTATCGTTTTATTTAAAATATCCCCCAAAATATTTGCGCTGATAGTTGTCCATACGAACCTCACGAAGACCCGCTTGTTAAAACACGTTACAATTCAATCGTTACTTCTGTATACTATCAGCCTCGACTTATTGTGATGGCAAATAACCACTACCAACCTACTGAACGCGCGATGTATTTGTGCAAAATGAATATACTAAAGGAACAACTACACCTGCCGCTAACGACGGCAGAATTTCAAATGAAGTCCGTGGTAGACGATGTGCTGGTACGGATACTGCTAAAGGACACCATCTCAGCTACCACTGGGCAGGTGGTGACCACCTTACCCGCGCGAGAGCCCGTCGTGAGTCGGAACACGCGCAACACCAATATAAATAAGAATCTCGATAGTAATACAAATACAAGCACACACACAGGTGCAAATAAGGATACGAGTGCCGGTGGCTCGATGCAATCTGGAATACAAACACCTGCCGTGGGAGTGGGGGTCGGGGCGGGTGGAGCCAGGAAAAGGAGAGCGAGGTCAAATTCCTTCCGGAACTCTCATCACCATGAAGAGGTGGTAGGGTCGCCCATGTTCATGCCAGCGGATACAGGCAGCTCAGGTAAGGGTTTACTTATGTTCAGTCCTGGTGTGCTGTACGCGATTTTTGGGAAGGAAGGGAGTTGTGTACTACGTAAAGTTAAGTGGGGAGTGTGCATTGTATATGATAGTTTCTTGGCAATGGCTGGCTGCAGATTATAGCGTCTGTGTGTTTGGATGAGGGATGGATCGTATGTGCACCCGACCGACGTTTTTCGAAATATTAAAACAAAAACGCTTCCGATCATGTATATCAACTATAGATATGGGTACGCAGTTATGTACTAATCATCTCTACATACACCTTGCAATAGAAGCACATTTCTCAAAGGTTATCATCCACTCGTATTTCTCGCAGAAGGACAAGTATATCCAATACCCGCCGCAATGCCCGCGCAAATAACTGCTATCTCCGCAAAAGGAGTCTTCGAGCATCAGCCGCCTTGCGCTCTGCATGTTGACACGGCTACATCACACTCCCAAGATTTGTCATGATAATATAGACGCGCACTTAAATAAAATCATACGCTAATCAGACTCCCAAGGACGGGAGATATGTCATGATAATATATAGACGAGCACTTAAACAATCATATGCTAATCCAACTCCCAAGGACGGGATAGGGCATATATATGTCATGATAATATAGACGAGCACTTAAGCAATCATATGCGAATCCAACTCTCAGGGACGGGAGATATGTCAGGATAATATAGAAGAGCACTTAAACAATCATATGCTAATCCAACTCCCG